GAGATGTTATGAATCTATGTCTCATTTCCTCTCACTCTCTCCTCCCTTTTGCAGCCCCTATGATATTACAATTTTCCTTTCCCCTATTCCTGTTTTCAATTTTTTCCCTTCCAGCTTAATTTCAATTGTGCCTTGACACAATTTTGTCTTTTTTTTTTACAACCAAGCTCCTGTTACAAGATATGTCTCACATATGAATCACTCATAAAGGAGCATTCTTGACAGTAAACATGAACCACGAAAGATGCCTCTAGATTTGTAAACAAGTCAATAAAAATTCTGTTTTACATCACGAGCTACGCTCATAAAATTCCGATGCAAAAAGGCAAAAACACGGCAAACCCAGACCATCTACAGATACCAGCACTGATAGTTCAAGAATCTAGCATCAAATAAGCATACCAACAGCGCATACAAAGACCATAGAGTTTAGATGAGATGGGATTGCGGCTGTAATACCTGTACGGATGGCAGAGTAGCGTGGGCAAGATAGCTGTGGACGGAGACTTAATGCAACGACCAGCAAACTGTGGCTCCTGAATATTGTACTGCGGCAACGAAATCCGGGGAGAAAAGGGAGGCTTTCTGACAACATAAATTCGTTGAGCACAGCAGCGGAAGGAAGACAGCACTCTGGGATGGACAGATCAGGAACGGAGGCAAAAGTCTAGTAGGGTTCTCTTTGTTCAGTCGTAAACATGCGAGATTGAAAGATAATCGACATTGTTAGCCGTTAGGGATTTCAATTTGGGGTTCCGTGAGTAGGATTTTTACAGGAGGACTGGAGGAGAGAGGCATTTGCCGCATTTCTGACCGTTGGTAATGGGTTTGGGAAAAATGGATGGGACTGGGGGAAGGGGGAACGGCTTTTGGATATGGTTTTATCATGCAAATAAGGATTTTAATTTTGTATTTTTTTTCATTTAAGGATGTTAACTTTGACAGTTTTTAAATAAGGATGTCAATTTTTAATTTTTTTTCTAAATAAGGATGTTAACATTGTCAGTTTCTAAATAAAGATATCAATTTTCAATTTTTTTCTATTTAAGGATGTCAACTTTTAACTTTTTTTATTTAAAGATTAATTGAATAATGATTCTTACTTGGCTAATATATTTTTTAGGTTAAATACCTAAATTGGTCACTCAATTTTTATTTTTGAACCAATTCACCCTTGAACTTCAGAAAATACCAAAAATGTCCTTTAACTTCAATTTTCAATAAATAAAATTATTTCCTAATTCATAAAAGAATTAATTAAATTTTATTTAATTTTATTAAATGGTAGGTGGGACTAATTAAATG